GAACCAGATACTCCTCATGCTCTTCTGCTTCTTCATATTCATAGAATGGGTGTTGCACATCGAGATATTTAGGTTTTGAGGGAATCATGCGGACGTAGTGAAACGGCCTGTTTTTTTGGTCCCGCACGAGAACTCTGTGCTTCTTGGCCTGTTCTTCCCCTGCTCCGCGGAAAGGATATGCAGCCATGGAATCCCGGGTGACGTGGGGGGCAGGGAAGATTGATGTACTCTCCAGGGTCATCTTAATGACATGCTCGCGATCTTCGACATTCCAGCGGTGCTGGAAGTTCATAGCCAAGAGAGCCGAAGTTATATCTCGTTCGTTTGAAGATACCTCATCGGGTATGTCGTCGACCGAACTCCATACAATAGACCACTTGGAGCCACTCCCAGGGTATAACGTGATATTTCGGGGCAGGTCAACCAGAGCAGGTAAAATGACGCCAAAGAGACAAGGGCGGTGGAACTCTTCATCAGTAAACTCGAACAAGTAGTATTGCTTATCGCAATCCGACTTCCAGCGTTGGGCGATCTGGACCCAGGGGTCGAATAGGGGCTCCGGTATTAGGTCAATCTTTTCTTCTACCTTCTCTGACTTAGCATTGAGAGGGGCCAAATTATCTGTGACCAGCCCAGCTTCGTACAAAGCGACGTATGCCTGAAATGCGGCATCTCTAATGGCATTCCGTTCAGACTTCCATCCGCAAGCACTTTTGAACGTGCGAAGATTCAGCGGCAGCCCTCCCGGCAAAGTGACTGTAGCTCTCAAGATCGGCCCACCGTATGGAGTCTCTTCTTTATGGAAGACGTATTCAGGGAGCTGGGTGATATAATCCGTGCGAAAAACAACCTGGCAAAAGCGATCCAAGTGTTGTCGAGCATTTTCGAGGTCGAGCCGTGCTCCTGTGTTCTTCACGATATAGTAGGTAGAATCAATATCCTCAGCCCATGCCTGTTTATCCAATCGATCCAACTCTCGTTGGTCATCTTCATAACGTTCCTTCATGCCTACCTCCAGGTCTTCCCAGGCGCGGGTGTCTGCACTTGATCTCAGCAATGCAATCATCTTGGAGTCCGGCATGCGAGCTCGTCCACGGCGCTGGATAAATGACTTGAGGGTAGCAATCTCGTCGAAGGACACAACTAGGTTACATGCGGGAACATCAATGCCTTCTTCCAAGACACTGGTAGCCACCAGGAGATCGATAGCCCCTGATCTAAAATCCTCGAGTACTTTGTCAGAGTCAATGGGGTACTCATAGACCTTCTGTTTCTGGAGTCCGTAGCTCGAAGCCCCGACTATTGCACCGACTTTGTAACGGTCTCGGATAGGGGGGTAGTTGTTAAGAAGCTTGCAAAGCGTATGCGCTGCAGTTCGTTCCTTGACAAAAATGATTCCAACTACATCGTTCTTGACCTCAAGAAGTTCATGGATCAGTCGGCTAGTTTTGTGCGACACGGTTTGCTCGGTTGGTGGCGAGTTGTCAACGACACCGATGTTGATTCGGCGCAAGTGTCCTGCAAGATAGGTCCTGTCCTCGTTGGACCATGCATCGGTGAAATTAATGTTCTCGTCGATTCTGCCAAGGAAGTTCTTGATCATCTGTGAAATATAATAGTCTGCTGCCCAGCTGCCAAGTTCGGCAAGGATTTCTCTGCTCTTGTTCCAGAGGCCTTTGATTTGCTGTTGCGAGAAGGTGCCGTGCTTCATAATCAGGTTCATTAACCTTTCCCGCTTCTTTTCATCATTAGCGACAAGAGCTTTTAACTTAAGAACCTCGGGGTCCTTTGCGATATCCATGTTCGAGTATTCCGATTGCAGTTGTTGCATCAGTGGCGTACGGGGAGGGATCTTCGTAACATCGTAGAGTGAGCGAACGAGGTGAGGCTTGTTGATATGTTTGAGTAGTTGCTCTCGATGAATGGTCGGAGTAACACAGGTAGCGTCCATCGTATTCTCTAGTTTCTCGATCTCCTTAAGATCTGATGAGATAATGGGACTGGCAGTCAAGCCAAGTATGGCTGGTACTGGCAAACCCGCGTTCTTGTGTCGATGGTAGAAGTTCATCATGATTTTCCGTCCAGGGTCGTTCTTAACGCAATTATGGACTGCCACTGGTTAACAAGAGTGATTGTAAGTCGAACAGCCACTTACCTTCGTCAAATACTATTAAGGCGAGCATGTCCATTGTGACAAAGGCGTGGTCAAGAGCATCACGCAAGATGGAGAATGTAGATACGATGATGCGAGTGCCCTCGAGAATTTGGGACCAAACCCCTGGCGACCATGCATCGATGTTGAGCTGCCCCGTAAGCAGTCTCATGGGCACCGATGGCATTTGCCCTTGGATGACATTGTACTGTTGCTCAACGAGGCCAACAGTCTTACCCAAGAACCACACAAGCTTTACATAGGTAGTCAGTGACCTGCCATGGGTTTAGTCATTGATCCACGAACCTTGTCAGGTGAACATCTCTCGAGTTCTGCTTGAATGCGAAGAACGGCGCTGTAGTGTTCAGTCAACGTCTCAATCCCAGAACACTCTGCTATGAACATACACTTGTGTCTTCCCACTGCCCGTATCCATCTGATAACTATTAGGCGATATGATTCGAAATAACGATGCCTGAAGGTGCTTACAGTAACGATGACGTTCCTCCTCAGGCTCTGCTCCAGCATCTCTCGCTGGTAGGCACGAGGCTTGATGATGTCCGGGACTAGAGTCACATATTTGGACTTGCTTGAGGCCTTTTGTTTTCCAGTTTTGGCCTTGGCTGTGGAGAGAATGCTCACTGCTTCTTCGACCTCGATCATTGGTGATGGCGTCGAGGCGGTAGCAGGACTCTCCGACCGTGAGGAGTCTGCACTCCCACTGTTGGGAGACTGCTCTTCATCGACTTCCATCATTTTCCTATCATGGGGGAGTAGTGAATAGCAATTTTGAAGTCTTGGGCGAGCCAAGTGTTGGAGTATTCTGGTTCGCTTTAGTGAAGCTGTCTTCACGCGGGAGAGTGACTGGTGGAAAGCCAAAGAACAGAAGAAGGTTTGCGGGTAGTGCCTTGCTCTCAGAAGCATGAGAAGGGAAAAGAGAAAGGGTCTATCAAGGAAAGAGAAGCATAATAGTGAAGTGAGATGGTGGGAGGCCCACCGAGAATTGTTGGTGTAGGAAGCACTGATTCACAACCCGAGCACTTGGGAGTGTGGAGGAGGGAGGGACTGAACTGACTGCGCAGATTAGGTAGGTAGCAATTGTGCATCTGTCACTGCCGAGCTAAATCAGGAGATAATATCCTCCCCGTCACTTTGAAATCACTGCTACAAGTCAAGTATAAACTCAAATTCTATTTTCCTACATCAATAAGTACTTCTCCTTGTATTTTATGTCCGCTTCCTTGATTAGACTGTTGGCAATTGAATATTCTAGCACTGGTGCTCTGTACCTAGTCTGCCAATGCAGGGTGTAAGATTAGCACCGTTTATTCTCACTACTACGCTGAACAGGCACCAAGAACACAATGTAATTGCAAGAAAGCCAAGAAAAATAAAAGTTCTTCTTCTGTTCAACATTCCTTTCAAGCCCATGGCAGTCAGTTTTGTTTTCACTGTGTTTTTCATCTATTTTCGTCCAAGGTAACCTCCAAGTGATCAAGTGACGATATTCATTTTGAGTGGCCACACCACAGGCTTTCATCGCAACTTCACCCTCGACCTACCACTGTCAAACTGGAGGCGCCCTTCTACGAATCATCAATATCTCAACTTTCTTTGCCACTCTTTGCGTACACTAAAATCACAGATAGCCATGGATGTCCCCGTACGAATACCTTCCACAGATCAAACCATGGATCTATACGCAACCGGCTTCAATGCGTGGAACCAGCTCACATTCGACACTTCCCCAGTGGACGAAGAGCCTGACGACGTATTCGCTTTCACAAAAGTATTGGCAGCCGAGTCTGTTGGACGAATTGCTTCCCAGCTGAGCTATACTGTGGGCAGGTCCTTCGTTCTATAACAAGGACGTGGAATCCTTTCTAACACTTTGCAGTTCAACAAGATACAACCTGGACCATCGCTGGATCATCCCCTGGCCAGCTTCTTCACCGTGAAGACAACCAAGGATTTCTGTTCGACTCTCCAAGTGCTATCTCAGGGGATGGTAAGGTCTTAACTGCTCAGGAGTCGGACTGTTCACCCTTAAATCACGCCATTGCTCGGTATCCATCTTTGGCGGCATGGAAAGCCAACAAGAGTACCGATTCCTGGCCTTGCAAGGCTGCTGTCCGCCAGATAACAGCCTACGACGCTGGCTTCATTTTTCTTCTCGAGGATCAGACCGTCCTAAGCTGTGGTGACCCACGATTCCGAGACTGCCTCGGCCGTGAAGTTGACGAGTCCCGGTCAGTATCCATGAATAACTGTGGAAAGACCATACTGATCGTGTTGTTAGCCCTGCCAACGAACCTGGAGTCATACAAGATCTGAGTGATCTCGGCGAGCCTATCAAGAAGATTGCGGCAGCCGGATACACAGCTGCAGCTTTGACAGAGAGTGGTGGATTGTATCTCTGGGGCATGGCACCCCCTGGCTCACAAAGCCGACACAACGTATTTCGAGATATCAGCGAGCTACCGAATTACTTCGAAGTTGACGGAGACAAAGACGTGCAGGATATTGGACTTGGAGAATCACATGCCATTGCTCTTACGACTGATGGCTGCATCTACATAATAGGGGATAACACTAATGGCCAAGTTGGTCATGGGAAGGATGCTCAAGATCCAATTTCATCATGGTCAAAGATAGATTTTACGCCCCCTGAGGGTTGGGCAATTATTGCAGTTGAGGCTGGCCCCAGATCATCATTCATAGTCACAAAAAAGGTAAAACAATCTCAAAGCTCATAATGAGCTGTTCTTCTATCAGAACCAGCTCTAGTGAGCCCAATGAACCCTCTATTGTACAATGCTTCTCGTTGTGATCATTTGCATAAGGGCAATCATAGACTCGTCAGGTAATCCTCAATCTCTTGAGGGGTCAGCTTTCTGAAACGGGGTCCGACAGCCCCATCAACACCCTCAAGACCCAGAAGATGGTCTGCAGGAGCACCAACAATACCTGCAACAAGTTAGCAAGACTCTTACTCTCGACTCGTTCTGGAAACTTACCAATCTCGATGCTGTCACCATTCATCTCACCCTCGATGTTGTCCTTCAGGGTCAACAGCGCAATGTGGATAGCATCCTCAAGCTCGAGCTCCTCCGAGTATCGCTTTTCCAAGAATGTCTTGGCCTTTGTCGCACTCTTGCCAATGGCTGTAGCCTTCCATGGGTAGTAACTGCCAGAGGGATCGACCTGGTACAGCATGGGGCCGCCCTTGTGAATACCGCCAGTCTTTCGGTTGACCTTCTTCTCCTCGCTCTCCTCGGTGGTCTTGCTCTCCTCCTCAGGCTCGATACCCTCATCCCAGCCAGCAACCAACAGACTCACGCCATAAGGTCGAACACCGGCGGATTGCGTGGCCTCCTGCATCACTCGGGCGACATCCTGCACCAATATTCTGGTAGGGGGGTACTCGTTGTAGATGCGCTTGTAGCCGCTATGCGAAACCTTGCGTGCTCGGTCCACCAATACTCGATAATCAGGGCCCATGCCAGAGTACACCATGCCGATGTTGGGGGTGATGTCGCTGATCTTGGAGAGGGAGCTCTGGTCGGCCAGAGGGGATGATGACTTCTTCTCGGTGGCGAGAACGATACCGTTGGTGGCTTGTGTAGGTTAGCAGGAGCTCATTCAAGATGCCGGGGGGAGCGCGAACCTTTGATGCCAAGGGCAGTGATACCCTGGTTTACAGCATTGAGGGCATACTCTATTTCGTCAGGTTAGTTCCAAAGCTTGGTAAGGTCACAAAACTTCAATACGCAAAGCATATCGAAGATACACCAGTAATTACGTACCAATCTGCACCAGCTTTCCGCTACAGCTTTGTCAGTGATGATGCTCGCATATCAACAGTGTCGTCACCGAAACATACCTGGGTGAGAAGGTTGTGAGAGAGAAGGAGTATCGGTCCGCCATCGCTCAAGTTCCTGGTTTGGTGGGATCGTTACGAAAGAAGTGAGTGTTGAATTATGGGCGGTTATGGATTCGTGGGGTTGACGAGAAGATATCAAGCGAGGCTGCAACTGGAGCTCTGGTGTTTGGCCAAAGCAGCTGTAGCCTCTAGGCAGGCCCAGCTGCGCGTCGAGCTCAACCACTGGGAGCTCTGAATGCGGGGCAACAGATTATCCGATCGCCGGTCAACAGAGACAAGGTACCAGATCTTAACTTCATATCATGACAGCAGCTTATTAAACTTTCAGTCGAGGAAATATTTATATACAAGAGATTTTCGAACTTCTATTCAAAATTCCACAAACTGTTCCATCAGTTCCCCCCATCAATCCTGCAACCAAGATTGGATCCTCACCTATATTCCTAGGATCATCCTTTTCCCGAGCCGCGCCAAGTTCCAGAGACTCCACACACAAAGCAGCTTTCTTCGTGCGAGCTTGGTATCGGCTATTTCGGCTTCCTTCCTCCATCTTCTCTCGCAAGAAAAAGAGGCTGAGCTGGCCTCTCCATACCTGGGGTGACTTTACCTCCTCGTTCCAATCTTGGCGGGCGGCCAGGTGTTTCCCCCGCTCTCCTACTGCTCCTCTTGACATTTGAGCTTCGCAAAAACATGTAGGTTGCGCCTGAAACGCCTCCACGGCCCACGACTTGAGCACATTTCTACTGTGATTCTATCACCTACTGCTGTTGCCCTTACCTCTCTTTACTTCCACAGGTCTACGTAATTCATCATGGAGACGCGCCCTACTTGGGATTGGTCCTCGGTTGGGGATAATTCTGCTCGACAGCCTGAAACAGAGCCACGTGCAGCGACACCAGAGCCTACAACGCGATGGGCATCTCCTCCAAAGCCTGATACTACCTCTAACCAGGAGTCTCGAAGCGCGCCGAGGCAGAGGCGCTACGGCCCGCGCACATGCCGTATATGTCTCGACACTGAAGAGCCCAGGTTTCCTGAACAGTCAACAACGTTTGGCATTCCTACAAGTTCATCTCGGCCTACATACGTCTCCGACGATCCCGAACTGGGAAGATTACTATCACCATGCAAGTGTAAGGGTTCGCAGAAATATGTTCATGAAGGATGTCTCAACGCTTGGAGACTCGCCAACCCCATGGCAGCAAGGAACTACTGGCAGTGCCCGACTTGCAAGTTTACGTATCGCATTTCTCGACTCCACTGGGGTTCCATTTTGAGCAGCAAGTGGGCGCAGGTTGCTTTGACCGTCTGGTTCTGTATACTGAGCATTTTTGTCCTCGGATTTATCGCAGATCCCCTTTTTGATCTTTGGTCCGACCCAATTGGAACCATCGGCGAAACTGTCACAAGCGTGGTTACAGATATCGAGGCCTTGAGACAACCTCCACCACAATTACCAACCTCTTGGTTCGAGCACTTCGTTAAGGGCTTCTTCTCCCTGGGAATTGTCGGGCTATTCAAGACGATGCTTACTGTATCTCCCTTCAGTTGGTGGCAGATCCGAAGCAGCGGCGTGGCAGGTGGTGGTGGAAGGAGAGGAGGCACTGGCCGAAACCGTGTCGAGAACATCAACCTCATTTTTGTACTCATTGGTGCATTCACGTTTCTTGTGGGCATCTGGAAATTTGTTCAGAAGCTGAGTGCCCGCGTGCTCAAGAATGTGAGCGACAGGGTTGTTGACGTCGGCGAAGACGATGACGAAGATGAAGATATCGGCGATGGACCGAACCAAGGAAGTAAGAAAGATCAATGAAGCTAAGAAGCTTTTGTTCCAAGCAGTCTTTTGTTCCCATGGCCCCAATGCTCTACATCGTGTATGTATCTGCACACTCTTAAGTTGCCTAGATCTTGCTCTTCCCTGTCAAGTCAACTAGTCTGTGTGCAAAGATTTACGCTCTGCTTCGCCTTGGGCGGGAACCGTTTTGGCTCTTTGCTCGCTGGTCAGCATGAGATTATCAACCTTCATCCACGCATCGTGATGCTTTCGGGCGTTCGTAACGGTGTGAGGCATCTGCTGGGTACACTACCCTCGTACAGAAGCAGTGAGCAGATTGTCGGATGTTAGTTGATACATACCTGTGTTATTATGTATCATGAATAAACAAGACCTTTACTATGGTCCTTACAATGAATTATTACCTATTTCATCACCATGCTAGGTGTTCTCTAAGGTTGTTGGTCTCAATTCCGCTTTCACCTACTCATAGAATACATGTAACTATCCTTTCCAACACCTCGTGATAACAGTTCGCAATCAATAACCAATCTTTAGCTCCTATACTGCGGCTAGAATAATGGCCTGATGGTGTATATGACAGCTTATATTTAGGTCATCTCAATACGAATTCATCGTATTCTCAGCGCATGTTTCTTGACCTTGTCATGTCTTATAAGACGGACTTTTATGGCCCCGACACCGAGATGACGTTGGAATTTGGTGTTCTGAATGGACCCCTGCCATTGAAATACGGGTAGGGTAGCCCAGCATGTGGGCCAGGGCCTCATGAATTCGGCCGCTCCAAAAAGCCATCTATCATCAACCAAGTGCGCCGACCATGACTTCCTGATTAGCTCCTCCATTTGCTGCGGACCAGACTGTTCGCTCTCGCTCGCTTCTTTAATTTTTGCTGCGATCACGGTTCCTCTTTTGAATTCAGTATTAACGGCTGCCCGCTCTCGCAGTTACACAAGAACCTGGTCTCCCTTCGCGAAACGGACGATCTACACACGCCTAGTCTACGGGGTTGCTCTGACTGCTTCTAAGTCAAGGAAGCTATTCCGACCTCATTCGCGACTAATACTATACTATATTCAACGCGGTTCGACCTAGCAATCGCCCAAGATGCACTTCGCATACCCCCCTCGCAAGAACTCCAACCCACCACCTTTCAAGCAGCGCTCGTCGCAAATACCGCCAATTCTGCGCCGAATTCGCAAAAGAACAGCGGTTTTACTTCTCCTCGGAGCTATTGGATTTATATTTTTCCTCTTTGGACTAAAAGGCGAAGCGCCGTACCGCGAGCATGTTCCGTCAGGCAGTCCCCCCGTTGTCGTTGTGACGGTCTTGGACAATACACAGTACAACGAAGCCTATTTAGAATCGATTCGACACAACCGAGAGCAATATGCGTCAAGAAACGGTAAGTCAGCTGTGAAAGGCTTGTTCATGGATGAGGCTGATATACTGTAGGATATGAAACAATGATTGTACAAGCGTCTGACTATGATACTGGCAAATTCCCACGATCATGGGCCAAGATTATCGCGATGCGCCATGCGCTGTCAAAATACCCCGATGCCACTTATGTCTGGTTCCTCGACCAAAACGCTTACATCATGGAGCTCGACAGGAAGTTAGAGGAGCAGGTGGTGAATCCGGCGAAACTAGAAAGCCTAATGATTAAGGACTGGTCTATAGTGCCGCCGGACAGCATCATTAAGACATTTTCCCACCTCAAGGGTGAAGATGCAGGCCTTGTCATCAGCCAAGACGAGACAGGGTTGGTAACTAACAGTTACATCCTCAAAAACGGTGAATGGGCCAAGTTCTTTGTCGAGACATGGATGGACCCTCTGTACCAGAGCTACAACTTTCAAAAAGCCGAGCGACATGCGCTTGTAAGTTTTACCTGAGTTGATCTGCCGAGAAACGTGACCTAACCTCGTAAAAGGAACATATTGTCCAATGGCATCCTACCATCCTCTCCAAGCTTGCGCTCATACCCCAGCGCACGTTTGCCTCATACGGCCGCAACAAGGAAGGCAATGCATACCGTGACGGGGACTTTGTCACTCTCTTGGTCGACTGCACAGTCACAGGTCCGACGTCATGTGATAAGCAATCGCATTTCTACCTGCAGCAGTTGAAGAACAAGTTTGGTGATGCCAGCGTGAAAAAGCTGCAATGAGCATAATGAACACGACATTTGAGCGAGGTCATTGGGCGTTTTGTGATAGACTTGGAGGGGCTTTTATAGGATTGGAGATGGAAAAGCCCGTAGGTTTTTTACTTGGCGTTAGTTGGTAACTATTGGTGAATTTAGCTTATATGAATCTGGACATGTTCTATCTGCATGGATATCAATACGTTGAGAGCTTTTGAGTCTTGAAGGCATATGGCTGATCTTGTTGTTCCGTTATAAAACTCACTGTTATGTACCTTCAAAGTCAAACTACTAACGATCTGGAGAAACTGTGATAAGATACCTAAGTTGGGATGATGAGCATCACTGTTTAGGTAGCACAAGCACCAATCTTAAGCAGCTTCACGAGGTCAGGATTGGGAACCTTGAAGTAATCTATCAAGTCTCATCTCGTCTAATCCGAATGGTATGACGACAAGCTGGGTTAGAGAGTTTATGTTCTGATTTTAGAACGTGCCGCAGTTGAATCACCGTAAAGAAGCTGGGACCTCTTCTGTGGGATCTACCAGGGTAAGTTCTTATCAGCCTCACTCAAGGATCAAAGATTAATTAGTTTACATGATATGCTTCATGAGGGGAATAGTACCGAGTGCGAGTGCGAGTGTAAGTCTGCTTTGTTTCATTCGTCGCTTGACTAGATGATAACCATAGGAACCCGCGGGGTATTGTCCACCGGTAGTTGAAGCTCTTTCATCAGCCATCTGAGCTAGTAGACGAGAATATCCATGCAGGATCGGATCCCGAATAGACTTTGTATCTCGAGTATGTATCAAAGCTCTTGATGAAACCCTCGCCCCAGGATCCAGGCCAAATATTCCGTTCTGCCGACCGAATGCGAAATCTCCAAGATCGAGGAGTCGTATATCTCGCAGCGGGGTTATAGCCCAAAAAAGGTAGTTGATCGCAAACAATTGACTTTCTCAACGAGACAATCGCTTCAAACTGCGACCGCTCATGTACAATTACGGCGTCGACAGGGATCCTTCGGCCCACGATCCGTTTCAGTGGAGAGTCGCACGCCTTGAACGGGTTCAAGCGCTATAAATTTAGGGGCTAGACGC